ACCATATACAACCTTGAAGCTGGTGGACAGTTTTTGCTTTTATTGCTCAAAAATTCTTTACAAAACCCACTCACACAGCCACACACACACAAGATGACTTGGCATAGGTCCTCCCCGGCATCAACCTTCCCAGGCCTTGTTCAGGAGAAGGCACCCTGAAGGAGCCTGGCATTCCCAAGGGAGCAGGCAGGAGTGACCCAGAGACAGGACTGTCCCCTGCTCTCCCCTGAGCTCCCTGAGTCACCAGGTGGCATTTTGGCTAAGGCCACAGGTCCATGTTGGTTGGTTCCCCACCCTCCAGAGAGATTTCAAGTCACCAGGGACAGAGGCAGAGCAGGCACGGGACTCCCTGGCTCATGTCAGTCTCTGAGAGGTGGGGACACCAGGAAGGTGCCAACCAGGGCCTGGGGCAGGAGGGGAGCACCTGGAGGGTGTGCCAGGACTACAACACTTTGCCCCGGGTGCCCTCTGTGACTGCCCGAGTGGCCTGCTCGGGCACAAGGCTTGGGTCGGTCAGGATACTGGTGGACGCGCTCAGCTGGCGAAGGGAGTTGAGGACAGCTGGGGAGACAGAGAGAGGCACCCACTGAGATCAGGGCTCAAGTCCAAGGGATGCCCTTCCAGGACCTCAGACTGTAGCCACTCTGCAGAGGGGTGTGGTAGGGGGTCCAGGGAATCAGGCAGGGCAGAGAGCCTGGCACCCCCCAGGACTGGGCAGGCAGGAGCTCACGTACTGGGCCGGAGAGCAGGAAGGGAACAGTACTGGTCCAGCCAGGCCAGTGAAGTCTGGCGCAGGCTGTGCAGGCTCGCCGTGGACACCATCCCATTGAAGGACTCGAACAGAGGCCGGATGAGGATGCTGAACTGGGCCCAGGTCAAGGAGCAGCCTGTGGTCCAGATGGTACCCATCACCTCACGTGGACCCTTGACCCCTGACGCAACCAGGGAGGAAGGGCGGGTCACTGTGTAAGCGTCAACCACGAGGACTCCTGCTGCCTACTTCCCCTGCTTTGGCTCTCAGCCCTGTCCCTGCTTGCTCCCTAGCCTGCTCCACTGTTCCCCCCAACTGGGCTCCCTATTCCAGTTCAGTCAAGAACCTGAGCCCTGAGCTAGGTAAGGGAGTGGATCACATGCCTTTATTTTTCCCAGTACTGGGAATTGAACCCAGGACCTTTGCACCAAGCCATATCCCCAGCCCTTTTAATTTTTCCTTTAGAGGCAGGGTTTGGGTAGTCTCTAAATTTCTCATGCTGGACTCCAACTTATGATTCTCCTGCCTCAACCTCCCAGAGTGTTGGGACTGCACCGGCTAGATTCCACATCGTCCTTGGGCCCTCGCTCAGGGGCTCTGCCTGCCGCCTCCCCAGTGCAGGCTCCTTCTCAGGCCTCAGCCCATTACTGAGCATTTTGGCCGTAGGCCCAGAAGTGGGGTGGCTTGGGACATAAAATCAGAGCTGCTTCCCAGGTCCATGCAGCGAGCCAGCCGCGCTCAGCCACTGCCCCGTGCTACCTCCAGGCCATTGCCCCAAGTGTGGATACGACCCAGAACTTCCAGTTGTGCAGTGTGCGTGTCCGGACATAGTCATCAAACAGGTCCCGCATCTGGTCAAAGCGCTGGTGCGTGATAGGCACCCCTGTGGCGGGCAGCTGTTGCTGGCACAGGCTGCGGGCATGGGTGGGTCAGAGGCCAGGGGCCTGGCAGGCACTCGCTCCCTTGCCCAGCACCTGCCTGGGCCCGGCCTACTTGATGGCGGCGTTGAGCTCCTCGATCTCATCCCGCAGCTGCTGGGCCTCCTCCTGCAGGGCGGCACGCTCCTGCTGCAGCATGGCAATATACTCGGCTGTCTTCTGCAGCGTGGTCGCCTTGCTCACCTGTGGGTGCCACCAGAGCAGGCCTATGTGCTGGAGGCCATGACATTGCATGGCTGGGGGGCCCTGTGGTCTGCTCTTGGGCGGGCCCAGGAAGGGCCTGGGGGACCAGTCCGGGCAGGGGACTCACCTTGAGGCCTGGCTGGGCACTAAGTGTGCTCACAAGGCCATGAAGGATGTCGAAGCCCAGCTTGATGTTGAAGCGCCGCTTCTGCTCGGCCGAGATGTGTGTGATGCGCCGGTTCTCAGTCTTGGGGAGCACAGTGAAGGGTGAACCCAGGAAAGAGCTCAGGAGAATTGGTGCAAACCCATCTGGGGCGGGGGACAGTGCTCACCTTGCTGTTATCTGGCCGTACTCGGCGTAGGACAGGTTGAGGGGGAGAGACGCCCACACTCAGGGCTCCCGGGGCTGGTATGCAATTGAGTTCCCCAGACAGCCGCCGCTCACTGCCTGTGAGAGGGACAGACAGACCCCCAGAGAGACCCACACACAGGAGAGAGGGTCCTGTTGTCCTGTCCCTCTCACTGTGGCCCCAGACACAGTTCCACCTTCTTTTCTTCTCTTTTCTCCCCTAGATCCTCCCAATCCCAGTAACCTGTCCTTACCACTGGGTGCTGGAGGTGACAGCCGCTCTGCTTTGGGGACGATCAGGGGCCTTGGAGGGGCCAGGGTGGCTGGGCCAGGTGGTGGCCGGGGTGGTGTAAGGGCCGGGGGTGGGGGAAAGAAGGCATGGGGGAATTCGGGGACCGTCTCCTGCTGGGGTGCAGAAGGGCTGAAAGTTGGAGCTGAGGCCTTGGGCTCCTTCCCACCTTCCCCTGTCCCCCATCTTACCGGAGACCCTGGGGGCCGGAGGAGGGCACCAGGCACAAGTGGTGGCTCCAGGGCTTGCTCGGTCTTGGCTGTGCACAAGGGGACTGTGAGGGGTGCTGGAGCTGCTCCAACCCCATTCCTGCTTGGAACTCCCTCCTGCCTCTAAACGTCCCCACTGTCTCCTAGCACCTCCTCCTAGGCCTGGTGTCCAAACCCCCCTGTCCCCTCTCACCTGCTCTTAACAGCTGGGTAAGGCAGAGGTTGCTGCCTGGGGAGGTGGCAGGGGCCAAGGTGGGGGGGCTGGCCTTCCGTTCCCTGGGGGATGGGGCAGGGGGCTCGCCCCTGGGCCGCACCCCCTGAGGTGCTGGGAAGGGATTGCAGAAGCTGGGCTCTGGGTACCCTGAGGGTAGAGGGTCTATGGGGAAGGGGGTGGGACCCGGGCCAGGGGCTGGGGTCAGCTGCACTGCCCGGCTGGCTGGGAAGGCTGTGGGCGCAGGCAGTGGGGATGCTCCCAGGGCCTGCGGAGTTGTGGGAAAGGGGAACCTGGCTGAGAAGAGGGGTTCTTCCTGCAGCAAAGCAGGGGTTGAAGCCACTGGAGGGAAGAGAGATGGAGTACAGGGCTGCAGGCCTGGCAGCTTGTCAGGATCAGGGTATGGGAGGAGGGGTGGAGGTGCAGGAGGCGGTGGGAGCTTGGGCCTGGGCTCTTCCGGAAGGAGGAAATCAGAACTCAGGTAGGTGCGGGGGTCCAAGGGCTCAGGGCAGCTGTTCCGAGCCTGGTTTGAGGTAGAGAGACACTCAGTGAGGGAGAGGGCTGTGCCTGCAGCCACTCCGGCCAGCCTCCTGCCCTTGCTGAGCTCTGGACTGGGTGCTGGGGAGAGACAGGAGAAAGGATCCTTGCATGCCAGCACAAGTGCACGCACACACACGTGCACGTGGAAATTATAACTAATGAGCAGAGTGACTGGAATGCCCTTATGTGCAAATAACAAAACCCATTAATCTTCCTGCTCTTCCACTCATCTGCCAGATAATTTCTCTATCTACTCATTTAACCAATACTCCAGCTGCTAAGCAATCCACTCATCCATTCTTTGTCCATCTACCAACACATCTATCATTTACGCATCCATCCATCCATCCACCCATCTATTCTCCCTCATTTACCTAGTTATTCTCAGCTGTGAGCTAGTTTATTTTCTTTTCTTTTTTCTTTTTCTTTTTTTTGGTCTTTTTGAGAGAGGGTCTCACTGGGTAGTTCAGGCTGGCCTTAAGCTCACTTTGTAGCTCAGGCTGGTCTCAAACTCACAATGATCCACCCGCCGCAGCTTCCCAAGCGCTGGGATTGCAGGCATGTACTACCATGCCTGGTTTGAGCTAGTTCTCTTACCTAACCCAACACCAGTTTTCCACATACTAAGCTATATACCAGCTCATCCATAATTCACTCATCCACCCATCTGAGATATCCTATACTCCATCTACCCATCCACCCACCCACCCATCCATCCATCACCTGTACATTCACCAGTCATTTCCACTGGCCCCTTCACTAATCCATCAAACTACTTACATAGTTATAAATTCATCCACCAGCCTGACCACACAAAAGCCACGATCTACCTATATATTCACCAGTCCACACAAGGATGCATCACTGTCTATAATACATGCTTCCACTCCCTTCTACCCTCATCCATCCACTGGCTTCCTTACTGTACACCATCTACTGAGGGCTGTTATATGCCTGGACAGTGCTAGGCACTGAGGAGTCAGTGGGGAGCATCACACAGTCTTTCTAGTACGGAGCACAGTGTGTGGTGGAGGGGAGGGGAGAGGCACCTATCTAGCATAGCACCTGAATAGTCCATGGTGAAGGGGAGAGGCACCTACGGCAGCAGCAAGGAGGCTCATGGGGATTGGGCCCCAGACTGCTTGAATGAACTGGCCCATTCAGTTTTCTAAACAGGTGCTCAGCTTCCTGCCTCTGAAGCTTTCCTTCCAGCAATTCCTTCTGATTAACTTTCCGTCTACCAAACTCTTCTGCCCAAACCTGACCAGTTCACGAAGACCCAGAAGTCCCCTCCTCCAGGAAGCCTTCCACAGCAGCCCAGTCCCAGGGTTCTGTGTGCCCCACCTTCAACTTGCCCAATTCTGTTTCAGGCACTTCCTGCCCTGCCATGCTGGAGACAGGGCTTTCCGGAAGGGCCCAGCCACCCCTGCACATGGCGGGGCTGGAGGTGACCCTGGCAGGCTGCTGCAGCAGGTGAGCTCACCTGCAGGCGGCTCTGTCCTGGGAGGTGGGGCAATCCTGAGGAAGTTGGGGGAGCCCCTGGGGCCAGGATCGCGCTGCTGAGGCTGGAATCAGCCATGGGGCTGAAGATGGGGGGCTCCATGAAGTTTGAAGCTGTGGGCGTCTGTGGGGGGCGGTAACTGGTGAAGAAACCTGTAACGTGGACACACAGGGCGGTGGTGATTAGGACTCATGCTGGTGTTGGGCCTCTAAACGGGGGTGGCGTCGAGGGGGAGGGGCGTTTCCATAGGCTCAGGAAGACAGCCAAAGGCTGGGGTGCAGGGGCAGGGGTGAGATGGAGGCTCCATACTCGACATCCATCCCTTAGCATCTCTGTCTGGAAAGTGGGGGCATAGAGCAGGCCTCGGAGAGGACTGTGTGGGGTGCAGGCAAGAAGCCTCAGGGTGAGAGTTCAGGGTGAGTTGGGGGTGCCCAAGGTCAGGAGGGCAGACTTCGGGAAAGGACAAGCAGATGGTGGGAAAGGACAAACAGGAGGGCCGTAAGGATACAGCCTGGGATAGGCTGAAGGCCCAAGGCGGCCCGGCCGGGGACAGGAGTGAAAGGGGGCTGGGAAGCCTGAAGAGCTGGGGGGCAGGCAGATGGAGTGTTTGGGGTGCGGGTTGTGTAAGCCCCAGGCTATTCTGGTTTTGGGAAGCAGCTGCCTGTGGCCTAACCACATCCCGGGGCTGGCCGCCGCCGCCCGCCCGCCTGCCCGCTCCCTTCCGGGCACCTTTCTCTGACCCTGGCCAGCCAGTGCCAGTTCCTGAGGCCACTGAGACTGGCCAGACCCAAGACCCCTGTGCCAGCTCCCACCTGGCCTGGTGCGGGCCCCCCCACTTCCCTCCAGGCCCCCTGACCGGAGAATGTTAAAGCAGGTCACACGGAAACCAGGACTTAGAGGATCAGCCGTGTATGTGCACGTGAATGCATGGGTGCGGGTGTGCCTGTCGTCTTCTGTCTTAGGTAGTTGTGCTTGTCAAAAGACCTGGGCCTAGGTGTCATACACAAAGCCTCTGCCTGTCTCCCTGGGTGTCTGTCCTCACATCCACACTCTGAGTCTTTATGTGGCTGTGATGGCTTGGTGTGTATACATCTGCTCCGTGTCCACATGTCCTTCCCACATCTGGTCAGAAGTCTGGTTAGAACTTTTTCTTTTTTTTTTCAAAGCCCAGGGCCTTTGCGCTAAGCTATATACCCACCTATTTATTTATTTATTTATTTATTTATTTATTTATTTATTTAGACAGGTTCTCACTAAGTTACTAAGTTACCCAGACAGGGCTCAGAGTTGAAATCCTCCTGCCACAGCCTCCCAGAGTGCTAGGCTTATAGGTGGCACGTACCACCACGACCGACTAAGAAGGTGGCTTCTTGCTGTGCTGTGCCACTCTCTCACAGAGGGATGGTAGGGACCAAGCAGGGGGCACTGATCCTCTACCCGTGTCTCTCTATAGACCAAGGACCGCCTCAATAAGCTGCCTGAAGCCCAGGGCTTCAGAACCAGCCTTACACTGGACTCCCCGCTCAGCATTGCTGTCTAGCCCTGGGCCTCAGGCGAAGGGCGTGGGGTGACAAGTGCATCTCACCCCTGACTCCCGGCCACCCTCTCATGACTATCTGCTTGTCTCCACCCTGCCCTGAGAGTAACCCCTTCTGCCCAGGCCCCAATCCCTGCGGCATCCTCTCGGCACCCAGCCTCTGGCCCACCGCAATCTGCCCCTCACGGTGTCTCTGGCCCAGCCTCTCCAGGGGGGCTCTCTCAGAGTGGCACCAGTGCATACAGCACTCGCAAGTGACCACATGTGCCTCCACCCAGCAGCCCCCTAGGAGGTCAGCAGTAGGCACCCAGCCCCAATCTCTGGAATATGCCCACAGCCCAGATGGGCACAGTGGGTTCCTACCTGTGCCAGGAGTCTGCGTGCCCAGACAGGGCGGCCGCCCTCCCTGGCTGCTCTGCTCCGAGGGCACCGCCATCTACACTTCTGCCCCTGACAGCCCCCACCCACCCAGGGCTGGGGGAGGTTCCTCATTCCCGAGTCCCCGCCCCATAGGCTGCTACCTCTTTATTGACAGACCCAAGACCCTATGGGGAAGGAGCTAGAGGGTTGCAGAACCGAGGCTTCAACGCCAAGGACCCTCTTTCTGTCCCCTGGGCCTTGAGTGAGCTGGGCTGAGCCCTGACGTCCATCTGTTCCGCAGTGTGGTTCTGGAGGCCCTAAATGCTTGTACACAGAGACATTCAGCAAGATCTACGGGACGGCGAGTAAAGCAAGGTAGGAAAGAGTCCATCATGAAACAAAGACGGCTTGGTCTGTTTACACTGGTGTGACTACCTCTCGGAAGAGAGCAGAAGCCCAGAAACTTGGTGCCATTGGGGTAGGAGAGAAGGCAGAAGACTCAGTGCTTTACAAAAATGCTTTATGAGCCAGACATGGTGGTGCGCACCTGTAAGCCCAACACTCAAAAGGCTGAGGCAAGAGGATCACTAAGAGTTTGAGGCCAACCTGGGCTACGTAGTGAGTTCAAGGCCAGCCTGAACTACATAGCAAGACTTTGTCTCAAAAAAAGGGCAAAGAGGGGTCGGGGAGATAGCTCAGTAGAATAAGCGCAGTGCAAGGCCCTGAGTTCAATCCCTAGTACCGGGAAAAAAAAAAAACCTCCCCCCCCCAAAAAAAAATCTGGGTGTGGTGGTGCATGCCTGAAATCCCAGGACTCGGGAGGCTGACCCAAGACCAATGCCATGAGTCCCAGGACAGCTTGGGCTGTATAAGCAAGTTCAAGGCCAGTGTGCACTTCGTAGGGAGACCCTGTCTCTAAACAAAAACAAGAACAAAAAAAAAAGATAAAAAAGCAAGGGAAGGACAGTCCAGATCCAGATGAATCAGGAGTAGGTCTGCGTTGCAAAGGTGGGGACACTGGTAACATGTGATTTGATGACCTATTCTACTTGCATGTATGTTTGAATTGTTCTTTAATAAATATGTTTAGAAATGTATGATGTAAATAGTAAATAGAAGCAAACAGATCCAAGTCCTTCTCTTCCCTCTAAGAGAGTACTTTTTTTTTCCGTTCAGGGTCTCACTACACAGCCCACATTCATAGCGATCCTCCTGATTTCTGCCTCCCAAGTGCTGGGATTACAGGGGTGTGCCACCATGCCTGGACTCCATCGCCGGTGCAGTATGTGGGGCCAGGGATCAGCCCCTGGCCCCTGCACTTACCTAGGCAAGCACTTAGTCCTCTGAGCTATACTGCCAGCCCTCTAAGAGAGTACTGCATCCACAGCTTTCCTGCAGCTTCAAGGTCCAGGTCACCTGGTCCCTGGAGGCCCTACTGTCATCTAAGGGGGCCACAGCACTGATTCTGCATCCCAGGCTCAGGTCAAGGAGGACCAGAAAGATCACTCAGAAATGCCCCACATTGCCTTCCCCACTGAAGGTCTGCTGACCCCAGCTGTCCCTCCTTGCCATACCTGAGATCTCCATGAAGTCATCCAGGCTCGGCTGTAGGGGCGTCAGGTCCGGCTGGATCATGTCAGCATTGCTGATGTAGGCTGGAGGAGCAGTGGCCGTGTCAGGAGCAATAGGCAGGGTAGAGTTGAGAGTGCCTGCCTCTGCCCCCATCCCCATCTTAGGTGCTCGAGTCCAAAGCCCAGAGTCAGGCCCTCACCATCCTCGGGAGGCAGCTGCAGGGGCGAAGAGTTGGGCTGTGTCATGGTGAAGAGTGTGTCGGAGATGTCGGACAGAAAGCAGTCGAGGTCCAGGAGCTGCCGCCCGCCGGGCTCCACGCTGGAGAAGAGCTGCTGGCACCATCGCTCTGGTGGCGGCCACCCACCTTCCGCCTGGCAAGACACCAGTTGGTCACTGCCCTGGCCCCTGAGACGCAACACCCCACTTTTCCTGGGTTTGCTACCTGGAAGGCTGAGATTGCCCATGGGCCTTTACCAACTGCCCTGTCTCCTTCCTGCCACTATGCTTTGTTCTGTCAGGAACCAGGTCCATAGGATGTCATGTCCCCCATGCCTCTTGTCACCTGATCAGGTGCTCCCTGGGGGTCTGCCCACTACTTTGCCTCTCAAGAGGAAAGATCAAGGCATCACCCAGAGGCTGGTGGCCACGACCATTCCCCTGCATCCCACCCTCTTGCCCAGACTCTGCAGCCACTGAGGAGGAAACTGTCACTGCATGCCACCTACCTAGGGTTTCCAGATTTCCTGCACTGTGGAACTTACGCAGCACCCACCTGCTTAGGGGCCAAGAGATCCCCTTCCCTGCTGGACTTACGGAGCTGCAGGGACAGAATTGCACATTAAGTCTCCCCCTAGGGGCCCCTCCCGCCCCCATCCTAGGGACCCCCCCCCCCCCCCCCCGCCGCCGCTCCAGTAAGTAAGCAGGTTGCAAGGAGAGCCTATGGCCACACGGTGGCGCTGTCCGGCCAGAACTTCCTGGAGGGTCCGCGCTGGGTTGGGGGGCTGGCAGTGGCCAGGAAGCCCAGGACTCCTCCACGGTCCCCCCACTGACCCGCTTCTTGTAGTAGATGCGCCACTTGTGGTACTCGCGCATCACCACCTCGATGCGCCGCTTCCAGTAATTCCCTTCCAGGACAACGGCCTGGGGACAGTAGGAACAGAGGGGCTCAAGGCGGGGCGACACTGGGCGCTGCCCCCTCACCCTGTCCCGCCCTTCTCCAGATCGAGGTGGGCTCAGGCCCGGCTACCTCGGGTTTGCGATGCTCGTCAGCCTCAGACCCCTGCAGGGGCGTCACGAACCCGCACACCGGGCTCTTCCGTCGCTGCACATCTGAGAGAAGAGGGCCGGGTCAGAGGCACCCAGCCCTCATTCTGCCCCTCAAAGAGACGGAGACTCAAGGGGCATCCTATGCAGTCCTGCCTGCCTTGGGTGCTGGCATTAAGCGCTGCCACAGCCTCCAAGAAGACTTCGTCTGCCTGGCCCTCCCCAATCTCCCCTCCTCCCCCACTGGAGATTGAGCTGAGGGCATTTATGCTGACCTACACCCCCAACACTCTGATTGATTGATTTCAGTTTGAGACAATTTCTCGCTAGGTCCCTGCCAGATCCCTAAGGTGCCCACACTGGCTTTGAACTTGAAATCTTTCTGCTTGAGCTTCCTAGAGTGCTGATATTTACAGGCCTTATATCTGGCGAACTTCCACTTCTATATCTCTGCTTCCTTAGGGAGCATGTTAGAGGTACAGGCAAAGATTGCTGAATGGATTATGGGGCCATAGGTCCCAGGGTCCTTTGCTTAACCTCTGGACATGGTGATCCCAGAGGGCCAGCCCAAATACATGTCCCACCTGCCACCTACCCAAGCTCTGGTCCCAACCCCTCAGCACCTCATTCTTTAGTCCTGCCCTCTCTGCAGACTCCTTTTGGCCCCTTTGCCATTCCAACCTTTTCTTTAACCCCCAAACTTATCCTCCCCTCCTAAGTCACTGAACATCTTTGCTCTGCCCCAGTTCCAGGGATGTCACTGCCCCTCACCTGCACAGCCCTGCCTGCTCCTGACCCCTGAAGCCCAGCGTGTGTCCCCACCCATCCCCTCCTCCTGCACCTGCACTGCGTGCCCTCCTCCTGCTGTCCTTCACCAAACACTGCCTCCTCTGAACACCCACTCTCAATTCTCCCACAATGCTTCTTTCCACCTCCACCCAAAGGTCCAACCTGACCCAAAAGTCATAAGAAGTCCCAATGAACTGGGCACTGCAGTGTACACCTATAATCCCAGCTTGGGAGGCAGGGGCGGGAGGATCATCTCGAGGTCAAGACCAGCCAGGGCTACACAGTGAGTTCAAGGCCAGCCTGAAATGCATAGCGAAACTTCTCAAAAGGACAATAAAAAAAAAAAAAAGAAATAAACAAATAAGCAAACAAACAAAATAAAGTCCCAATCAGCTACTAGTGTTCCTCATCCAGTCAAAAGACAAACTCAATTCCACAGGGCCTACCTCTGGCCTCACACTCTGTAGTCCTTCTTCTTGCAGCAAGTCTGAAACCTCTGTGTCTGCTTAGGGTCCCAGAATGAGGACTGTGCCCCTCAGCTTGGTTTCCAAGCTCCTCCTCACTCTACCTGCCACCTGAAGTCACAAGTCTGCCTTCTGGCCTTTATGTGTGTTTGTGTGTATGTGTGTGTGGGGTCCTCTTTGCTGTCAGCCCAGGCCTCCTCCTGGAAGCCTTCTATCTGCCCAAGGCCCAGGATCCTGTCCTGATCTGATCCTTCCTGCCTGTCAAGTCTCTGCAAATTCGCACCACTCCACAAACCCGAGTGGAGGCAGGAGCAGCTGCCAGCACACAGCAGGGCTCAAAGCGGACCTTCATTAAGGGTGTGGCCTAGTCCTTAGCGCCTATTGTGTGCAAAGCCCTGTGTTCCATCCCAGAGCTACACACACACACACACACACACACACACACACACGTGCACACACATGCGTGCACACACGAGGCAACCCTGATGAAGAGCATTAATCCTAACCTTTGCTTTTCTAGACCACAAGACTCCATCCAGCCTCAGCCAACTTTTTTTGGGACTGATGACACAGAGGGGCCCACAGGAATACAGTATTTATTAGGGCTTCCAGCATCATTTACACAGCTCTGCCCAAAAGGATACTCTCCCCAATGGGCACTCAAGACTGGCGGAGGGGCTTGCACCTGGCTGCTGGAGCCATGGGGGTGTGGATTCCCCAAGGAGGGTGTGACACCAGGGCCCCCAGAGAATCCGTGGTCCAGCCTGGCCCTCCCCACCCCCACCCAGGGTCCTCATGCTCTGGACAGTGGGGCTGTGCCAAGGTGGCTTCCTGGGCTGGCACAGGCTTGGCTTTGCCCTGATAAGCTCCTCCGTTCTCTAACCCTTCCCTCCTTCACAGGGACAGATG